TTGGGGAATTCAGCTACCAAGCAGCCCATGTCAAATGTGTTTCATAGCTGTTTCTACTGGTTTTCATTTCAGGAAAGGGAGTTAGTCACAAAGAAGACAGCTTCTGATCTTAGCCACAAGCAGGGCAGAAAGAAACAAAACCCAGGGTTTCTGGACTCTTGGGCAATCCCACAGGAAGACAGTGAGTTCCTTCCAAACCGAGCCTGGAGGAGCCAGTCATCTATCAAAGTGAGGGTGCTTTGCAAGCACCACATCAGTCACCCCCGGGAGCAGAACATCAAGCACAATTGGGTACATATTTTTTCATGTCTTACCACTGCAGCTGGAATTTGTAGCACTGGGTTCATGAGAAGCCATGTTTAAGAAAACAGCAGAGAAGGCATCTTTGAAAACTGCAGATCATGTATATGAACATGGTTAGGGCAGTGGTTCAGCAAAGGTTAGGCCTGTTTTCCTCTCCCTTCCCCACTGTGGCTCTGGAGCAACAAGATGATAGAAGATACTGCTAGGATTTTGATCTTAAGTGTCCTCTCAAAGCTGATATCATAAAAGCTTTATCCCCAGCATGGTGCTACTCAGGCATGGGGGACCTTTCAGAGGCAAGGAGTAGTGGGAAGTTTGTGGCTGCTGGAGTTGACCCGGTGAAGAGAACCGTGGAGCCCTCTTTCTTTCCTGACCATGACTTGAGGAATTTTGTTCTGCCACCCATATCTCACTATTGCCATCTGGTGTCTCCACCAGAGGCAAAAAAACAGCAATGTGTCCATGTGACCATGGACTGCAACCTCCAAAACTGTGAGCCAACATAAACCTTTTCTAAGTTGAATATCTCAGGTATTCGTTATAGCAATGAAAAGCCAACTAACTGATGCCCAGGGACAAGACTGTTGAGCTCTCTAGAACTCAATCTCTTTCTCTGACTTCATAGAGTTGATAGTTTTACACACACACACACACACACACACACATACACATACACATACACACACACACAAGCTTACTTTATGGAATAGAATTTCTTCAGTCTCCTTTCTGTGCTTTAGCACCACACACATGTGTCTTGAGATCCTTGATAATAGGATTATTTCTACCAGCAAGCTGTGGGCTTATTAAAGATGGAACTGACATAAAAGCCATCTGATTCTCAGGTGACAAGGTTCCTTTCACACACACACACACACACACACACACACACACACACACATTCTATAATGATTATGCTGCTAAATCCAACAGACAGCTCGAAGACAGGAATGAGTCATAGAGAATAAACTCTACTGGCATACCTAACAGGTTTCCCTTATTGCACATGGGAGATTCCTAGATGTAAGGCTTTAAAGTCAAGAAACCTCTTTTCCTTGCCAGTCAAGGATTTTTTTTCCACACTCATTCCCAAAGTCTCAGCTGGCACTTAAATGTGTACAGCAGCCTAAATCACAAGAAGTCTCTTACATATGCAATTCTCAGCCTTTGGACTGCAGCCTCTATCCCTAGAGGAGGGCAGGGCTGCCGTTTCTAGAGCAAAATGTGCACTTCCATCAGCTCTGTCCCTTTCCTTCTTGCTCCTGCCCCTCAGAGAGATGTATGTTAGCTATCACCAGTACAGGTGGGGTCGATTTAGAAGAGATTTGTGTACCATATCATCAAAATGCGGCAGTGATGTGGCCTTTTCTCCACATCATCAAAATGGGCCAGTTTGATAATGCTTTGTATCCTTTACACATTGTCAGGTAAGATGGATGGAAAATGTACATGGCTTAACAAATATATGGTAAATATGTATTTTCCCTGTCCTATCTATGAAAGGTTCTACAGAAGGTTGAAGGAGGAAAGAAAGCCACTTTGCAAAAATGATAGATATAGTATAAAACTCATAGTTTAAGCATCTAACTTGCTGAGTTTTAATGGGGTTGTCATCACCCGACTGTTAGCTTAACTTATGAAAATCAAGCATAGGCCTTTTTGTTGCTTCATAAATCCTGATGAACAATAGTCCGACAACAGAAAATAGGCTCTGATTTTGGAATGATTGCTCTCCCTGTATCGCCAGTAATGAAGGAAATCGAAGACTTATTGCTTACAGATATTAGCACAGGCCCAGATGGCTCAATTTTTTTTTACCATAATAGATAATTCTTGAATTATGTGCCTAACAAAGACAAATTCTAGAACTAACGGAAGGCATTTATTATATTAACAAGTGTGTTTTCGATTCCTTCAAAACAGAATGTAATTTAATCTTGGCTTCAGAGACAGATTGGAAATGTTAAATGTCTGCTTTTCAGAAATGATTTCTGAGGGAGAAAAGTATTCACCATCAGCTTGAACTGTGTGACTCGGGGAAAGGATGTTTATCTTAACGGCACAGAAAGGGAAAAGTTGTGGGTGTTTTTTTTTTCATTTTTTAAATATAGAGCAGATTGTATATATCCTAGTGCTTCCCCAGGGCAACTTCTGCCTTGGTGGATGTAACATATTCCTCTGTGAGAAAGAATAATTATCTGATAGTGAGGGAGCCTTTGCCTAGTGTTCGGTACATAGAAATGCAAACCTAAAAATCATCCATTGGTCTTCACCATCTTGTTTGTTACTCCAGGGGCTCAGGTGGGTATGGCTTGGGCCAAGACTGGAGATTTGTAAGTTGGGGAAAATTAAAAGGTCCCAGTTAATAATCCTCCCACACAGCATGACCAGAACTGTGGAGGATGTGGATACAGTGCACGTGAGAACTTACAGAAGAACTGAAGACTTTCTTGACTTGCAGAGAATCTTGGGAGGAGAAGTAGGAGGAGGAGAAGGTCACTGGAGAGCTGGTAGTGAGCCTCCCATTGGAAGGGGTGGTTTCTTTTAAGGGCACACTAGGACCACTGGCTACATTTCATGAGAAAATATGCTTTTGTGCCTTCTAACTAATGTCTCAGTTTACCCTGCAGAGAAGAGGGTATACAAGGTACTGTATCCCATCCACAGGAGGTCTGGGGACTCACATCTGGGCATGCAGTGGGGAGGATGGAGTCAAAAAGCTGTGGAAGGAAGACAGTGTATGTGGGTAAATCTGGAAGTGAAAGTTGGACAATCTTAAGGGAGCCCCTCCATCTGAGAGGACTGGCAAGAGGAAGGAAATTAGTCATTATGCACTGATGGAAACAGGAAGTAATTGAGTGACTACAGGAGGGAATCTGGAGATGCCCAGGGGTAAGATTTTTCTTTGCTTTGGACCCAGCTCCCAGGCTTATTACAGAACATCTGTACCCTCACCTGTAGTCAGGAAAGGGTGGCTGACCTATTGTGTCAGTTTGCATGGGAGACTTGCTAATGGTGAGAGCTACCAAAGGAGAGAATTTCTCCATATCTGTTCCTGCTCATGAGGTAGCCAGCTGGTCCTAGTGTCCCCTTAGAAGAAACCACCCCTTCCAATGGGAGGCTCACTACCAGCTCTCCAGTGACCTTCTCCTCCTCCTACTTCCCCTCCCAAGATTCTCTGCAAGTGCTCCAGGGATGCTGTGGAGGGAATGCCAAGCTTGAGTGGGTCCCTTTTCTAAAGGGTGACCTGAAGCTTTCTCAGTTTCTAAGTTATCACACAGATCTCTGTCTTGATACCACAATTCATTCAATATTTTTGTATTAAGCCCCTAGTATGTGCCAGCCAAAGTAAAGGCAATGGGAATATGGGTGGCAACACAAGGTCACAAATCTTGCTCTGTGGATCTAATTTCTTTGTGGGGTACTGAGTAACAGGGACAGGGGTGCTGATTGATATAATGCTTTCAAGTGCTGTGGGGTGAAGAAAAGGGAAGTCAAAAGTCAGTAGATTGATAAGGTAAGGGCAGGCTCTTGGAGGGGGTAATTTTAAAATAGATTCACAGTCTAAACAGGAGCTAGATAGAGACAGAGGAAGGACGTTGACAGAGAAAAAGAAAGGCGTGACACCGAGAATGTGAATTGAAACTGGAGGAAAGAAAGGCATGTCCTGCTCATGGAGCTGCTCCTTAGCCCTGATGCCTGAACAAAGCGAACTGGTCTTTTGGAAGAGCTTTATGAACTCACTTGGAAACCTTAATTAGCTATATTACATTAGAAGTAGGGGAGGACAGAGGAGGAATACATACATTTTGATGTGGATTAGAGTGATCTGGAAGAGATTAAAGGCAGGCAGAATTTGATTGAACAAAACATGAAATTTTGTGAGGGGTGGCTAGAGGAGAGTGGGTGAGTCTTCTGGGGCAGAGTAGGGGCATTCCGAGAAATCGAGGCACAGAAAAGACAGGAAGAGGGGAGGAGGTGCCTTCTGTGCATTCAGTTGGGAAGAAGATGTGAAGTCGAGCCTTCCTTCCCCAGAATCACATACAGAACGTTGCTCCCTCCTCAGTGTCTGTTAGGCTTGAATCCCTTGGCCTAAGCAGCCTTCCTGGACTTCTGTACAGTGAGATGCTGCAGGGAAGATCCTGTAGTGCTTTTGGGAGAGAAATGCCCCTGCTACCAAGGGCACATTTTGCTTTTTTCCAAAGCTGTGTCACTGACACAGTGCCTCACAGATGTGTGAAGGGGTTTGGCTGTCTTTGTTCTAGAGAGCACCTGAGGGTCACAGATGGGCAATGACTTCCCCAAGGTAGAGGCTTCATTCTGAGCCAGTGCAGAGACATTCTTGGTGGGATGAATCTTATGTTTCATTGCTGGGGCATTAGAAATAAAGGGTTTCCTCTACACCAGATGGAAATAAGTAGCTCTGGTGAGGGACAGACCTCAGGAGGCTGCTCTCCAGTGCAGCTGTGTGTCCTTGGAGAAGACAGCAAGGACTTTTCTGAGTGAAGGAAAAGAAAAGGCCTGGCCGCAACAATACCTGGGAATGGTTGGTAAGCATTTGCTCTTCTACTCTGGGCCTTTTCCCCCTTCTTTTTCTCTATTGCGTTGCTGTGGAGTTGAAACCGGCTGACTCAGCACTAAGTCTTTTAGCAGGAAATGATGAAAACTGTCATTTTCCTCTGTCTGCACAGTAGCACACAGCAGAGAGAGCTGAAGATGGTGGCGGGGGCCGCTAACAATGCCTCGGGCCTCAGATTGGATCGTGGGTGGAAAGAGTCCGCAGTTTAATCAGCAGTCACTTCCTGAGCCAGGCTGGGGAGCGTGAATGTGAGGCCATCCCTGCAGCAAGGACACTTCATCGACGAACCCCCAGAAACTCCCCTGCCAAGGTGAGAGGCAAAGGCAAGCTGCAGGCCCCTGGGGAAATCTTGCACACCAAAATGGACATCCTGGATGATGGGGTGACCCAGAAACCTTTGGGTGCTTATAGTAGCTGTGTGCAAAAGTGCCTGCCAAGAGACGACTTGACAGGGAGGGAAGCCTCCCATGGTAATATGGAATTCTGCTGGAATACAGTTTCATAATCTCATTCCGGGGAGCGATAGGTGGTATTTTCACTGCCTGCTCATTTTAAAATGCACTCAGAATTGGTCAGAAACAGCATAAATCTGTAACACTGGGCATGCTCCATTGCTCTTGAAGCCTCAGTTTCTTCTTCTGGGGAGCAGAGACCTCAGTACCTACCACTGCAGCATTATGTGGCTGAGTAATGACATAATGAATGGGATGCTACTTTGTGAAGTGCACGCCATTACATTATTTAGAATCTAGAGTCCTTGGGGGCATTTCAGAACTCTTTTTCCAGCACTCATCCCAAGCAAGCAAATACACAGCTACCTCATTCACCCCTCCCGGCCTCCCGCTTAATGGCTTTAATACAGCTGTGAAGATGACCACTGACCCATGTGCTCCAGTTGGGAGGTGGTATTAATGGGCATGAGTCAGGGCCCTGAATCCTGGATTGCCACTGCCTCTTATTAACCTAAGAGTCTGTAGCTCTGACTGCATATCCTTTGGTGTCCAAAACAGAACGAGTGTTATTGTCAAACATCCACATGTTTGTAAATGTCCAGATTTTTGGCAACATTCGTGTTGCAATTTAGAAATATGCTTCCAGAAATAGAAGAGGAGAGACTGTGGAAAAAGTGTTTGCTGTCTTTTTTTTTTTTTAATTGAATGAGTAGATGTGCATAAAGGTGGTCCCTAAGAAGGAATGACGTGATCCTGGGGAATGTGGCAATGCCAGCAGAAATGCCCGGGGCTCACTGGACAATCACACACTTGAAAGACTTCACTGCAGTGAAGCTATCGTCACTCACAATTATCACCCCTGGAAGGTCCTACTGGACTAATTTTTGTCTCACCCATTATCAAACAAATATTTGCCAAATTTCTGCCATTTTGAGCATGTCTTCAAAATTCCCTTTAGCTGTTCTGTAGGGCATGAACTTTTGAGAATGGGAACTGAAGAAAAGCCAGTTCTGACGTTACAGCACAAGAACTCGAATGATGATTTGAGTTAGGGTGGTAGTGTTGGTAATAGAATGGAGGTGTCTATTTGTCCCTAGCAATTAAATCGGCATGCCTTGGGAATAGGAAGTGTATGGTTTGTAGGGAAGCGTGGGGGAAGATCAAAGATAATGCTTATATTTTTGGCTTAGTGAATGGTAGATGGAAGCATTATTGACTTAGATGGGGAGACCAGGGAGGACCAGGTGTTGGTGGAGAACTCTGATCTTGGCACGTTGGATTGTATCTAAGATGCCTTTAAGCCATTCAAGTGGATGATAACCAGTGTGCACCTGGGTATAAAAGTCTGCAGCTCAGGTGGGAGAGAAGGGAAGGCTAAGGAAGACACAGATGGAAGTCATCACATCCGGGGGAATGGATGGAAGCACCAGGGGGATGAGTGCTGCTGGAGGAAATGACCCAAGGGCATCATCCCACCTTGACAGAGTGGTTGGGAAGAAGAGAGGTATGGAGAACGGATGGCTGGAGTGTGGCTGCAGAGTGGCATAGGAGGAAGCTAAGCTGTGTGGTCCCCAAGATCTTCTGCAGTGCCAGCCCTCCTTGATCTTGCTGTTTTTCACATTACCTTTTCTCTCCCTGATGGCACAGGCTGATAAGTCCAGGAACTTGGACCTCTGCCTGTCTCTGGGAAGGGACCCCAGGCTATCCAAGCAACAAATTATCTGCTTATCACAGCTGACGCTGCTACCATTCTACTTTATTATTTCTTGCTATTATTTTCCCTGACTTTTGGGAAGCTGACTGTGGCCTTTTATCTAGATGCCCACACTCCATCACTGCTCTGCCGCTTCCTCTGCCTTCGTCCCTCCTGCCTGCTGATTGGGCCACCATGCTGTCTCCACGCACCGCATCTTTATCTACTTTGTCTGGTTTATCTGCCGTGCGTCCTCAAGGTTCAGTTGTTTCTCCATTGTTATTTGAAATTTATCTGATTCCAAACCTGACATTATATCTCCTTGTGATATACAGTTGTCTGGGTGTTGTTTATCGAGTGTGAGTTTATTACTCTGCACCAACTTTGTTCTCCTCCCTTCCAGGTTGGGGACGATGTCTATAACATAACAAAATCTGATATCTACAAATCATCCTCATAACTGCAGAGATAAGACAGAACTCATTCCCATCCATATTACCCTCACTTGGGGAGAATTCAGGTCAAATGCTTTGCCCTTGAATGACATTTTCCTTTAAGCTTAATCTCTACCTCCTGTCCCTCCTTTCTTTTGCATTTTACTTGAACTCAGACATTTATTCACATCCTACTGTTTGCTTCTCTGATTGGAAGACCATTTCTACTGGTGGTGGATATAGTGTAAATATTTTATTTTGGGGGTTTGTTCAGGCAGTTCTCTTTGGACATAGATGAAATACCGGCTACCGTCCCTGTGTGTGAAGAACATCATGTTCAGCCTTTCACTCCCAAGGCAAATTATTTGCTTAAGTAAGGGTTTCTTCCTTGATTACAGCTTTTATTATTGAGATCTTGTCTGAATTCCCCAGGTGCGTTCTGAATTTCCCATTCTTGCTGTGCTCACCACAGAACGAGTCTCGGAACATATATTTGCATGTGCTCCTAGCTCTGATGGAGACAGTGTCCTTACTCAGACAAATAGACCTGGGAATAAAAGGCTAAGCAGAAGCACAATATCTGGGCGCGCTAATTATTTTTCTTGATTGAGGACATTGGCTGGATGTTAACAGATACATCTATTAGGTGTTGCACTATTTGTTTAAGAATACTACCTCTCTTGGTTTGCAAAATCCTAGAGTAGGATGAGAAATGAAGAAAATGGGGTAAAATAGAATAAACAATATTTAATTGACTGATTCACTTATTCTAGAAACACACATTGAGCACGTAGAATGTGCCAAGGACTCTGGTGTGCCGATCAGTGTGCCAGGCATAGGAGACAGAGATGAACAAGAATCTTGAAGAATCTTCATGCAGAGTGGGGGAGGGAGATACAGACAATTACCAATACTGACTGATGAGTTCTCCGACAAAAGCCTCCGCAGAATGCACAGGAGCCTAGAAGATAGAATTATAAAGGGTGTTGGGGACTGCACGGCAAAAACTGAGCCTCGGGTCTCTCTGGGCACCTGTCAGGAGAGAAGGTGAGGGCAGTTCTCAGCTGTAAATGAGTGACAAGCCAGAGTTGTGTACTGCTCCAAGGTGGGGACAGGTGGAGGGAGGAGAGGACATCTGGAAAAAGAGGTACCTGATATCACCAGTGACAAATGCCAAAGGGGAGGTACAGATTCTAGATGCTGGTAACTTTTAAAAATTACTAGATATGTGTGCTATTTGGAGCTTTGGTGGAATCACTGTGAGAAGTGTGAAAAGAAAAGCCCAGGACAGGAAAATAATAGGTTTGGTGAATTATGACAGTTTTTTCCTCAGTCATTACCTCCCCTCCTCCCACCCCCTCAATCATATCAAAAGTATCCGGAGCAGGTATGCAGAATGCGAGGCGGTGGGACGAGTGACAGTCTTACTTTCTCCATCTCTGGATTCCAGTGCACATTGAAAATGTCAAACCAGCAGCTTGCTCAGAGACAGAAGCCAACCGGGGAGTGAAATTGCATCAGTGAGGGGCACGAGGCTAGACTTGAGGAAAATGGTTCACAAAGCACTAAAAGAACAGAGGGAGAGCATTAGCGTTCCCTCCGTGGAAATCTGCTAGAAGAGGAGAGAAAACCATCTGTCTGGTACAGTATAAATATAGTCATGCTTATGGCCAGGGGATGGACTTACTTTTTTCCTTTCAACCAATTTTAAAGTTTCTATGAAAACATTATTGATATTTATTCCCACATAGTTGCAATTTTGCTTAGCTGATTATTTAATTTTTACTTAACATCGTAGCATTAGCATTTTTCACATTTCTGTACTGTCCTCAATGTTACCCTGGTGACTCCTGATACAATGTTGAAATGTTAATTTGCCGATATATCTGGGATCAGCTTTGTAGGTCCCTTTCTTGCCTAATATTTTTGTGTTTTATGGTCTTTTTTAATCCCTCTGCTCTGTAAAAATTACTCAGATTTTCCTTATATTCTTAAATTTCTCCTTGCAGCCATCTGCACAACACAAACACAAGGCCCAGCAGAGGGGCTGGGGATATAGCTCAGCGGCATAAGCCCTTGCCTGGCAAGCCTGAGGTCTTGAGTTCGATTCCCGGTACCAGAAAAACAAACAAACGAACAAAAAAACAAGGCCCAGCAGAGCTCTCACTGGCTGAGTGGGAAGAAAGGCTACAGTGGCGAAGGCATTAGTGTCAGGCAGAATCAAGTGGCCAGTTTTCATAAGTTACTCTTTTGGGGTTCCTGTGACATTAGGTAAGGTACATTATCTTGTGAACTTCAATTTCTTCCTTTGGAAAATGTTCATAATTGTATATATCTTACAGGGTTGCATAAGGATTAAAGACAGTATTTGCAGAGTGCTTGCTACAAAGTAGATTCCTAGATGGTCTCATTACGCAGATCTGCGTAGCTAAATGAGTTGAGTCTTCTTACATTCAATTAAAAGCACATCAGGGGTGGAAATCTTATTTGATTTGCCTCTGAATCCTCCAGTGCCGCAGAGGACTCTCGGCAAGTCCTATGTGTTAGCTGATTATCTGACTCCAGTGATCCTGCTCTGCTCTCGCAGCACGGTGAGTGCCGGGTAAGGGATCTATGGGGCAGGTGCAGTGGGAGAGGTAGGGCCACTGGGTAGTTCCTTTCTGAGGTCTTGCCTATCCAGTGGGTGGCCAGCAGGCTCCAAGCCGGTGGTAGCCCACTGCCCAGGGCAGGTTTACACCTCCACCCAGAGGGAAAGCAGGCAGGCAGGAAGCAGAGGCAGCTCCAGAAAGCAACTACCTGTTTTGGAGCCTGTGTATACCCTGCATGAATATTCAGTGTGTATTTTACACCCCATGACAATTTTAGAGACCAGGTGCACCTAGGATGCAGAGACAGATGAGAAAGGAAGAGGAGAGGGAGGAGGGAACCCATCCACAAACAAACCCAATTTCTCCACTCCTCATAACACGTTTTCCTTTCACAAGCACACAGATAAATAAATCCTCAGCAGAACAGGGATGCCGAGAGGGAAGCTGGCATTGGGAAGGCTTGCAATATCAGCTAATTGGTCTGAAACCTAAATCATAAAAAGACCTGTAATTATGCTGTTCAAAATTAACCCAGAAGGCTGTTGGGTGTGTGGTGGCGGGGAGGAGGAGGGGCCTCAGAAGGGGGGAAGAGTCCGTTTTTTAAGTGAATTTATACTATTATAAGACCTGTCGCGGCAAGTAATAAAAATGGCGATGCTAAGTTAAGCCTTGTGTTATCCTGTTTGCTCAGATGCTGGTTATGCCAGCTGTAGCCAGCAGAAAGCACTTTTCAATTTATTTTTATGACTCTTCTCTAAAAGCATTCCATTAAAGGAATATTACCCTGTATGAAGTTTTGAGGCACCGATGGCAGTTTATTTGCTTGTTGTGCTGGGGAGGAATAAATAGTTATCTGTGGTCCCCATTATTTCAGTTCTGGCTCTCTCATTCCAGTTAAGGGTCAAATGTGGACTCTGCTGTCTACTCCTCTGTGGAACTCCCCTCCCTGATTGCGCTCAGCTGAATCTGGGCTGCATTTGAGTCTGTCTTGCTGAGAACTGCTGAGTCTCAAGTTTGCACTTTCTTGGTTAATTCCTTCCATCATTGTGGTGAGGTGAAGCTTCTGCACGCAGCCTTCTTCTGATTTGAAGGACGTGCATGAGTGAGGCAGGGATGCATCTCCTAAGGCAGGGTCTATACCAGCATTCGTGGAGTTTCAAAGTCCACTCCGTGAGGTTTTTTGGCAATGTGTTTTGCAAAAGCTGTGACTTGCACCTCTGTCCTCTCCTCTCCCACCAGTGAAACAATCTAGAGGACAGCATGGCATCGTGGTGGAGGGTACACTCTTGGGAGTAACATTGCCATGGCTTGAAATTTAAGCCTGCTGCATAATAACTGTTATCCCAGGCAAGCTTCTTTAGTAACCTCATCATATCTTACTTTCCTAACCTATAACATGGGAATATAAGCTACCACCTCATTGAGTTTTTGTGAAGATTAAGTGAGATGATAGATGTACAGTGCCTAAAACAGTCCATGTCCCATATTAAATGTTACCTACGTATTCAGCATTTTACTATCAATGTGATTGCTGACATCTTAGTAAGTGTGGGAGGATGCTGGGCTCCCAGCTATGGTTTCAATACTAGCTTGTCACCTCAACTTACATTCATCCCTTAATTTCATTCAGATAATAATTCAAGCCCATTTGTCATTCATGGGAGGCTATGAAGACTGCCAAAATGCAAAAGTCATGATGCATAAATGTAGGATGTCTTCATACCGCAGACGAGCAGAGTGCTGGCTCATGGTCTTGGTGTGTCTTTAGTGTTAAGCACATTTTGAAGATCTAGGACAGAAATATGAATTTCCTGGTGTTGTGGTTATTATTAGTAATGGAATCTTGGCATGAGGAGAGGTTTTAGACTAACGTGCACTTCTTATTTTTGGGCAGAAATTCCTTTGACAACTGTGATTTGTGACAGGCGGCAGCCTATGCCATAATCAGCCCTCAGACTTTGGGTTCATCCTGGTAGGTCCCTCTTTTCTAGTCCTAGGGAGTAGAATGCCATCATTTAAAGTTGCCTGAAACCTTTCTCCCTGTTAGTTTTGTACAGTGATTTTTGGTCTTACTCCCATAAACCTCCTCAGAAAAAGTCCAATTCTTTCTCCATGACAGCTCTTCAGATATCGGCAGATAGCACCTCTTTGTAGTCCTTTTCTACTTGTGGTCAAGTTCTCCCCAATATTACTCATATGCCACCACTCCAGGCCCTTTGTCACTGCAACCTCCTTCACTGGCTGCACTATAATCTCATCAGCGAAGTCCTTCAGAAAATGGCACCCCTGAGACGGATCTGCAATCCTGACCCGGACTGGGATGCTCTTTCTCAATCAGTGCCACCCAGATGGCTCTCACCTTTGTGCTTGTCACCTGCCAGGCATCAAGCCACTCATGCTCTGAGACTGTGTCCCTTTATGGTCTGTGGGAGCAGGAACTCTCACCGGATGTGGTCTTCAGAGGCTGTGAGCTTGGAAGGTGAACAGTATATGATGGTGTTTGAGTTAGCCAAGAAGGAATAAAGGTGAATGCTTCGATTTCATTGTAGAACAGTTGATCTTCATAGCCTATTAGCACCCATGCCCGCCCCCATAGTTTTTGTGGTTAACCTGCTTATCACTCTGCATGTATAACTGTGTGGTTTTACTTTGTAAGCTTTTCCGGACATTCAAGTTTGTAGAGGTTTTATAGAATCATGATTTTGCCAGCTAATTTGTTACCTATCACTTCTTGCTTTGTGTTATTCAAATTCAGCAAGCATGGTTTTACCTAAATGATGGATAGAAATTCTGGATATTTCCCTTCACAAAACCTCCTCCCTATTCACAATGTATGCAGCTAAAAACAATGGCTAGTTTCCTTTTTATCTCTCCTCAGATAAAACATACTTCTCCACAGAAGCAATTTCATTTTTGTTTTAAAGATAGTTGGGCAAACACTTCATATTTTCCTCTAGATTATGAAATCTTTGAGGATGGAGAATGTGTTGCATTTAAACTTGTCACCCTCAAAGACAATGAATCCACCTTGTATGTAGTAGTAGCAACTTTTAAGGCAAGAATATGGGGCCACTGGCAGGGACTTTGATGTGCTCCAAAGATAATTTTCAGCTAATGACATCATTAAGCTTTCATCTGTACAGTTTGCTTGATCAAGGTACAAGATGTTATAATGACTATTATCTTCTATTAAGTTCAAGTGATGACGGGGCTGGATGCTGCCTTTCTTCTAAGCTAGCAAGCTGACCTACCTTTGTTGCTATATATACATACAAACGCACATGGACATGAATACCAGATCTCTGCATGGATCTGTACACTTGTTACTCATGTACCACCTTGGCACTCATTTCCTGCACCGCAGTCAGTCACAGGGCCATGTGACAAGGGCCTGATGCTACCTGCAGGTGCAACATGGTTTTCCCACAGAGGAAGAAACTTGAAATTACAAGATTTGTAGCTTATGAAGCTTGTCTAGGCCGCTTGAAAGAAGAGTAAATGGCTGGATGTGCAGAGATAGTACAGTTTATGTGGGAAGATGAAAACAAATCCACACACAAAGTGGAAACGTGAAAGATAGCATGGAAATCTGCAAGTTAACAAGGAGGAAGTTTCCAGATAACTTTAATGGATGGCATTTTAAAGTGGAAGCGTGAAAGATAGCATGGAAATGGCTAACAAGGAGGAAGTTTCCAGATAACTTTAATGGATGGCATTTTAGGTTGGGAGGAGTTCAATGTGGAGAAATTATCTGGGATGGTTATATGTTTAAGAGGGACAAACACGTAACTGGGGAACTTGAAAACAGAAATACACATGAAATACCCATGTTGGATAGCTTTTCCATTAGTCAAGAGAGCAAAAGAGGTCTCTCCTTTTACCACAGGTGCTAACTTGTCCAACCTTCCAAGCTGGGATAGCATCCTGGATTTACTCTCCATCTGCATGCCCAGGGTCCAGAATAAGCTCCTGCAGAGGCAGGTAAGATGTGGAAAATTCAGCATGAGAGTAAATGAAGGCTAAAATAAGTGGGGCTGGAGTGAAGGGAGTCTCACAGGAGCACTTAGTGAAGGGTGAGAAATAGCGCACAGAAGAAATACAGCCAGAGCATTGGGAGAATGACTTGTAGCTAACATGCAGGGTTTCTTTTCCCATCCAAATGAAAGATGCTACTTATAGTAATTGCTGCCCAGTAAAAGTTAGAAAAGCACGCAGCATATTGCTTCTCCTTAGACCTTTCAGTTCCTTCATTCCTGGATTAATTTATTTCTTAATTTTTTGTCTGTATTCCTTTTTCAACTTTAGACTTTGCTTGAACCACCCCCCTCCCAATCTCTGTCTCCCTTTCTTCGATCACCAGCTTCAGAAACAAACCCACACCATCGGAACAGGAGGCTTGGGATTCATCTCCCCTGGACTGTAAAGATGACAAATCTCTCCCAACTCTTTGGTTAGAAAATACAATTAAGTGGACTGGAGTGGGTTCTCTCCAAAGAAAATTGGCTGGATTGAGATGTGAGGATCCTAGAAGCTGAACCAATAAAAATCAATCATTCCCATCCCCTGGAGAAATGGCACTGAGGGAAAAGTTTGCTTTGATATCTGTGCAGTGTGGACAAAATGTCTGTGATTCTTACCCAATCAATAGAAATCTCTAAAATGAAAGATTGAAGCTGTCAAGAGCCATAACATGTCTGGGATGTTTGTGAGAACTGTCTCCCCTAAATGCCAATGCTTCTCCCTCAGCCCAAAGTGTTTGCATAGCCTTAGAGCCCCAGGTGTTGTCTTTTTGCTCAAGCTAAAGAGGCTGGAAGCATCTCCAGTCTGATGATACATTCAGAAGAAATCAACAACTTGCCAGTTGACTCAGGGCTCTCAGGTAGGGAGGAGGCGGAGGAAGGTATTCTTTCCTTGTGTTTATTTTAACCTAGACTTGATGCTATCCTGTGCCTAAATACCTCCAGAAAACAAGATCACACACTCCTGGAAGACCTCTCACCAAGAGCAGATCTGTCCCTATAGTCTTGTTATTTAATTCCTTAGCCTCAATTACATAGTGGCCTATACACTGAGGTCATGCCGGGACAAGAACTGGTCATATACCATATGAGATATGACATTTCTTGAAGGAATAAATTAATGAACTTACTATTAAATTGAAAAAATCATTTTATTAATCCAACCCTCTGTTTAATAAGGTGGGTGACAGCATAAATTCAGCAAACACATACCTGCAATTTATTTTCCTAATGTTAGGCTCCATGAAAGTGATTATTTGGCTGTCCTTTTAGTGAAAATGGGAACTACCTGCCACCCCTAGATCATGCTAAGTGGGAGAACCTGCATCCATCATCGACTTTATATTTGACCAGCTACTGTGCTCTGTTTTATTTTTACAGTGGTAAAAAATGCCTAACACAAAGTTCATCATTTTAAGTGGTTTAAGTGCATTGCGTTCTCTGCAACCATCATTACCATCCAGTCACCTCCAGAACTTTTTCAAACTGAAAATCTACACTCACTGGATGATTCCCCGCTGTCCCTGGCTCTGGTCCCCATTCTATTTTTGTCTCTATGATGTGTCTTTGCTAGGTACCTCATATAAGTGGATTCATTTAATATTTGTCCCTTTGTATCTGGTTCATTTTACTTAACATACTGTCGTCAAGATTCAATCATTTTGTAGGATGTGTTAAAATCTCGGTCCCTTAGAAGGCTCAGTAATACATCATTGTATGCATATACCATGGTTTGTTTATCAGTCCATCCACTGATGGAGGTGTGGGTTGGTTGTACTTGTGGATATTGTGAATAATTCTGCTAGAAGCATTAGGGCACAAACGTCTCTTAAAACCCCTGATAGCAATTATACGGGTTTATAACCAAATGCGGAATTGCTGAATTACATGGTAATCCTATGTGTAGTTTTTTGAGGAAATGTCATATTATTTTCCATAGTGGCTACACCATTTTACAATCCCACCACATCCTTGTTGATAATTATCACCCCCCCCCCCATGCCCTGTATCCACATGCACTGTAGTAACCAGCCTAATGGCTAACTATTCTTTGTGGAAATCCACAAAATCTTATCCCATGGTCTTCTTCCCCACTTTTAAAAATATATTTACTCTCTTAGAAAAGGAATCTTTTCTTGACCCAGGCCCAAGATACCTGTTCCCTGGTTTTCCTCTGCAGCCCAACTCCCACACTCCGGCTCCCTGACAAAGAGCAGCCTTTGACTGGAAGCATCTCCAGTCTCCACACCTTTGCCAGCTGTGTGGCCCTCATTGCAGTGGCACTTCCCCTTGATTTTCATTCTGCTCTGTTTTCCAAATCATCTTTCTTCTTGTCCTTGGTGATGTCCCATCTTAATGGGTTTAACACTGGGTTCTCTGTTCTGGGGCCGTCACACACCACCTGTGTGACTTGAGGCAAATGATTCCACCTAAGCCTGCTTTCCTAAATTTTAAAAGAGAAATAATAATGTCTAAAGCACAAAATTTTTGCAAAGACTGAGTGATTTATATGGAAACAGTTACATAGTGTTATTTTATTATTTTTTATTTTAAAGAGAAAACAAAACAAAACAACAAAGATAAAAATAAAACAACACAAAAGCCAATAAAAATGACACAGATATTTTAATAAATGGTTGCCACTATTACTGCTAATTTTTCTACTAATTGGATATTCGTGTTTTTCCCCTATTTTTATTGCTAATACCAATCTTCTCTGTGTAATCTAGGCTCCACACTCCATAGCAAACCTTCTTTTTATCTCTTCTTTCATATCCATTGCAAAGGTTTCAATGATCACTGCAGATGATGAATTATTATTTTCAATGTTTCTTGTACTTCAGTCATCTTTTAATGGATTGTTACTTTAGCAACAGTTTGCTGAGTTCCCCACGCATTGATTCTGGCCCCTTCTCTCCTTAGTTTTTCCTGCTTGTCACCAACAGGGTCATTTTCCTAACGGAGTTTTTTCAACTGATCACTCATAGTTTCAGAAATCTTTGTTGATTTTTTGTAAACTTTACTGCTCGGAAATAATGCATATATTCTATCCCTCCACTCACAGCAGAGAGCTTTTGTGAATTCTCCAAATCTATGGAAGGAGTCATGATTCTCTGCTCCCCACCTCACCCCACACAGACTTCATGAACTGTGAATGTTTTGCTTTTCATTCAAGGTACCCAGTCAGTCCCTGGTCTGGGCTGTGTTATCTTCTCATGTGATTGATTGCTTTCTTTTTATCCTTATATCACCATTTCAAGGACTCCAGGATTCCAAGCCTAAGTCACTGCTCATTGAAACACACGTTGTCTTTTGAGACCTGGCTCATCTATAGTTACCCTGTAGGTCACAGGCCCCTGAGTCACTGGAAAGAGTCCCAAGGACCTACATAAAAGAGGCCATGGCTTCCATTCTCCACCTCAAGTGCACTGTGTTTATGGGCAGGCTTTGAAGGGATTGTCACTGTCTTTTCCTTACAAAAAAGCCACTTTAAATAGACAAGAAGAAAGTGGTAAAGCATGGAGATATAAAGCATGTTTCTGGAGCCAGATAGATCTGGGTTCCAATCTTGGCTCTACTTCTTACAATTTACATGACTCTGAGTGCGTGACTTAAGCTTTGTACCACCGCATCAGCAAAATAAGGACTGGATATAGCTCTCTTATTGTTGTTGTTAGAATATAACAAATAAAGGACTCTTGGATTATTGGGAAGAAAAAAGGCTTAAATAAATGACAATGTTATTAGTGACTTTACTGTTATTATTATTTTCAAGATATCTCTTTGCTATGGGAATGGCTGGAGAAGAAAAAAAGAGCATGACAACGTGACTGCCATGAAATTCGTGGTGGTAGAATTGCTCTTCACTTCCAGCTCCGCTCCTCATGCCCGCATCAAGTTTATGCCGAGTTAACACCAGAGGACTTTTGGCCCCTCAGATTCTCTTCTTCCAGCTCTACCTACTTTATTCTGAACACAAAGATGGAAAACAACACATGCTCCTGCGTGATGAACTTCATGATGTACGTCTTAGCCTTTGGGGAAAAAAATGAAAACCTTATCGATTGGAAATAAAGTCACTTGACTGTCTATTTAAAGACTTCATAATTGCTCAAGACAACATATTATGCCCTTGAGTATGAAGCATACATCCTACTTCCTCTGCAGTGGCACCCTGTTAGCTCCAGCTACACCCAGATTTCCTTCACTCTGTTGCTACTTGGACATCATTGTTTGCAGTAGCTCTTTGGTACTTGTTTGCATGATTTGGCATCATTTTCTATTTGTATCTTATTAGATTGTTTTTGCAGTTCCTTTTATCACTGAAGGATCCAGTGTGGCACTAGCACTTGGACTGAATTCATTCTGAATATGTTCAATGCCAACTATGTGCTGTGCCTGAGCTAGAAACTGAGGACGTGATGTGACTGAATGTAAGAGACAAGCTCACATCTAGTAGACACAGATTTAACCATTCTTAAATTGATAATTGAGAAGGAGGATTTTTTGTGCTCTGGGGTGGTGTCATTAGGATGTCCTCAGAGTAGGTTGGGGGATCCACACAGCTTTAAGACCAATCCACCACCAGACATCTTGAACCATGACTTTTACAAACGCTAAGCCCACAAGTTAACTTCTTTTTACCCACGAGCTTGGATAGTCCCTAGCATTATCATATCTGAAAAGACATTCTCGCCCAGCTTCATCATATTTCTTCACTCATAAAATATATGTGAAAATCAATGACATTATATCACTGTATCTTAACTTAAGAGTTTTCCCTGTCTCCCTAATGATGTAGTGAATCAGAAAATAATTAAAAATCATTTAGATTGCAACCTCCCTTTCTCTCTCCCTACCCCATGTCCTTCTGCCTACATGAAACAGTGTGATTTATGTCTCCCTCCATCCTGATCGCTCCAGATAATGCAGGGACATCTTCATAGGTGGGAACTTTGCCAACACCAGTGGTATACCCAGCCTTGCCTGATTTTCCATGTGTGCATAATGGCTATCACAACCAAGAAACTTCCACCTCTGGGCTTACTGCTTATTTTTCCTAGCAGCAGCAATGACATTACAAAGCCACAGGTGACATTTTTGTAGCCAAGTAAGATGCTTGCATATCCATTACATTGTTTAACGCTCACAAAATTCTTGCAAAACAGATATTACTCTTATTCTGCCAAATACCAACAAGCTATGGCTCAGATAAAGCTGAGGACTCACTCAAGGTCCCGCTTATTAGGAGAGGGTAGGAATGGGCTCATAGTCTAGGCCATTTCTTTCACCTTCTCTCCTGGCTTTGGAGAGAGTGGCAGAAGGAATAGAGATGAGGAAAGGTTAAGGAAAGTGGGATAGACTTTAGTCCAATTGGTGGGTATATTTTCATTTTCACACAGTTAAGAGGGATTTGTTATATTATCAAATCCCTTGTTCTGCATAATCCAAGTAACAATGTGAGATAGATGTCTTCATCCAGGCTAGGGCTGTAGCTCCATGGGAGAGCAGTTATGTGAGGTGCCGGTTTCATCTCCAGCACACATGTGTGCATATGGGTGTGCACACACACACACACACACACACACACGCAGATATTTTCCTCCAACTCATAAATGGCTAAGCAGTATGTTTATCGGCTCATGTAAATCCACAGTTAAGGCTGGCTTCAGGGATTTGCTGGCACCCTGTGGCCTATATAGATATTCCTTGTTTAACGACCTCTCTGTTTAGTGACTGTTTCCTTATAACCCACCACTCGGACTTAAGACCCGCATTTAGACTTACAATGCAGAAATGTGAGCAGCAGTGCAGCCTTGTGGCGGCTTCTTCTATGGTACGGTGCTGTGATTTTTGCTAATTGTCCTGTACAGTATGGTATTATAGTTCTATGTTTTGTTACATGTTACCGAACCACATACAAGAGTTATGCAAATAAAAGCAAAGTCATCAAGTTGGAGTTTCCTACGACCATTTCTTTGTTCTGAATATTGCAATGCACATACTATATACAGTTCCTCATTTAACAACCAATTCATTTAACTATCTAGTCGCAGGGCTGGAACTTGGTCCTGAAACGAGGAATGTCTGTATTAGATCATGTGCTTATTCCTCAGCACCCACTGCCCAGGGCCTGGGGATCCAGTCACCTCTGGACTGCTCAGATCTACACCTGGTTTCTGAGGGCCAGGCTCCTCAGAAGCACTCAACCTGTGTGTGGGGGTTCAAGGTGATTTCTATGGTTACCCAACAGAGAAGATTCAGTAACTACTGAATTTGACCACAGGAGGCAGTTTTTTTTTTTAAATCCATGTAGAAGTGATTTTCAACTTTGGCTCTACAGTGGAATCACCCAGCATATTTAAAAATACTGACATCTTGGCCCTGCTCTTAAAAATTCCAATTTGATTGGTCTGGAATGAGCATGGCATTAGCATTTTTTAAAACTTCCTAAATGATTTTAATGATAGGTCAAGATGGAGAAATATTCTTATAAATTCTCTCTACTCAAAGTGTGGTCCAGTGACCAAGTAGCACTGCCCGGAGTTGGGTTCACGTCAGGAATGCAAAGTCTCAGGCTGCATCCTGGACTGACTGGATCAGCTTCTGCTGTCCGTTAGCCCTCTGGGTGACTCACCTGTTCACGATAGCTCGAGAAGTGCTGGCATAAAAGATGAAACCCAAGCCCGAATTCCTGGCCCACATCTTGGCCTTGGCTTCTAAGTATAGTTTGCAATTCCTTTGCAACTAGAAGTGTAGAGATTCTGTTGATATATGCTCTACTCCTTAGTTTTTCTCAGCGGGGAGACCTTGGAAATTAGTGTCATTAGTGACATTTGATCCAGAATCACTTGAGGATTTTATTCTAAATGTACATGCCTGGTTCCCACTGTACAGAAAATGAGCTAGATTCTCTGAAAATGGATTTGAAGCGTGTTTCTTGGGCTGATGAAGTTGCTTAGTGGTAAAACACTTGAATAACCTATATAAAGCCCTGGGTTTGAGCTCTCACTGTACCACAGAAAGCCACCTGTGGTTTGGATGACTGTTGCAGAAAAGAATAAGATGAAACATTGTGTTATTCCAGAAGTAAAAATCAAAGGGAAAAGAATTTGGCTGGGGATGTAATGGTGCTCTAGCAGAGAATGTTAGAACTCATTTCTAGATCCTTGGCCTGCCTGTAGACTTGTCCCAGCAATGAGGAGAGATCAGAGGCCCTAGGCTAGAGCTTGACTGGAAGAGGGGTTGTGGGGATGATGGATTGAGCTGGTGCCATAGATAGCTGCTGTGTCAGCCCATCCTACAACTTTTCAGAGTAATAAATCCTGGAGGGGACACCAATACATCCCTGAGAGCAGGGAGAAGTCACTCTTTAATGTGGGCCCGATAATGTCACTGAGCTCAGTCTTCTTAAATTTAAATGATTAGCAGTGACCAGGCTGGCTCCTGTGTGATGCATTGCTTACCCTGGAAATCAGGAAATCTATTCCACTTGCCTACTTAGATTGATGATGTCACATTATACTGGGGCTTGCTTTCTCTCCATAATGCGGAAGAGCATGTTAGAATGCACGGACCTTAAGCATTCTGGCCTCAGCTTCCCTTGTGAATTTATAAATATTACCGACTTCCTGGGCAAATCTCAGAATTGCTGAATCTGGCATCTTTGGGCAGACTCTGTTTAGAGAGCACTGAGATGTTACTAATGGAGTCTGCCATTGGACAATTCTATTCATTTCCTGGCTTCTGGACTACCTGAGACTACCCTTTTCTGAGAAAGACAAATGTTTAGTTTTGTACTGGGCTCTATCAAGTAAGGAGAAAACCCATCACTATAGCAGAGCTGGCCACCCATATCTACTTGTAACGCTAAGTAAGGAAATCCCAAACTTGTGGACACACATCCTTCTATGGGTGCTGGAGCATTGCCTGTGGCGTCCAAGCTGATTGTTACCAGAGGATCCCAGCTCCCTCTGAAGGGCGCTATTCCATCAGAACGCATGGAGGGTACCAAGGCCTCTTTGACCTTCCTTCTATCCTAGTGAGAGATTTCATTCTTTCATAAGCTTTCTTCTCTCTGGTGATTCCAAGAAAAGTCACAGAACTGAAAAATAGCCTTTAAGAAAATTCTGGGAACTCTTTGCTAGGAAACATCTGTGGAGGTCACAGGTAGAAATAAAGGTCACCAAGGTTAGGAAGACTAGAAAGTCAGGACAAGAAACACTGATCTTCAAAGAAATGCCTGGGCTTCCATGGTGGGCAGGGTGGGAAAGTAGAAATCGAAATGAAATTCCACCTAATTAGCTGAATTGGCAGCCACGTTTTTCTTACATACTACAAGTTAGGTACTGTGCTGGGTCCTCAAGATGCAGAACCCAATGGTCCTTGCTTCTTGCTTGAAGAACTTTCACTGTCTTAGGGGAAATGGATGTTCCATACAGAGTAGCAATCATGATTAATGCAACCACAGTGTTTTCAGGATATAGAGGGGAATGGCCCCTTCAGGACAGTGATGTCTGCATTGAACTCTGACATGTGACCAGTTTTCTAAGCAGATTTATGCACCGGGAATGAGTAACAGTTAAACATCTACCTAAAGGAATGATTCTGCAAATAAATACTTTCCATTGTATTAGTTTCTCTTTTGGAATCACCATAGAAATAGGTGGGTGGGTGCATTTCTCAATCCCAAATGGATGCTCCAATCCAGGGCAGGTTAGGTTGCATCCAGCTTTATTGTTTAATGCTAAAACTCCATCCATATCTTGATTCTGTTTGACTGTCTATTAAGGCATCAATGTTTGGTTCCTACAGAGTTCTCAGACCTTTTGATCCAGGGATGCTGGCTCTGGATCTCTATTATATACTCCCATTCTCCAAACTTGCACGTTCCATGGATAATAATTCTAAAGTCAAAGGGCACTTAGAGCCCTCCATACGCTAAGATTTTGCCTCTGGCCAGGAACAGGCCATGTCTTAAGTCAGTTGCCATCTGCCCGTGTCTCTCCATACTTTTAAAAAGTCCTGTGTGTACAAGCAGCAGGCATTCCCAGCTGTGGATGCCACTATTTCTTGTGACTCTGCGTACAGC